AGGAAGACAGATGCATGGGACTTGCTCATTCAAGACAATCATAAATGCCAACTGGAAAATTCTCCTATCAACAGATTCTGGACCATCTAAGTTTTGCCTCTTTCAAAAAATTGGATTAGCATGTATAATGAGCAAATCAGCTACCAGCGTCCAGGTGTCATCAGACAAGGTGACACTAACTCAGTTGTGTGCAAATAAGAATTTATGACAGTTATGAATAAACTAAGTCATAGGGGGACTCTGCCATTGCCCCACAACCCCCACTGCAGTGACTATGGCTAAAAGTTGATGGCAATAGTACAGTCTTCACTTTGAATTTTCCAAAAGGTATCACAAACTGTCTGTGTTTTGTTTCTAGCATATTTTACCACACATCATTGTCACCTCTCATTAGGGAAGAGCTCAAATCACTAGACCAGAGTCTCTGCTCAGTGATGCATTACCACAAATCTGAGAGCCAGTGATTATTCTATTAGCTGCCCCTTGTAATATCCCAGCCCTACAAGTTCATTTCCCAAACTTGGAAGCTGCCCAAACAGATGTCAGGTGATAAATGCCTTTGGATTGTAAATCTATTTTTAAAATGGGAAGAAAAAAATTAATCAAGAAACAGAATTAAGGCAATTAGGAGATCAGATCAGTTAGAAAAAATGGACTGGGAATGACTGTTAAAAGTAGGCAACCATTGATCCTCTGGATCATGGTGTACATGTAAGTAGTCTAGACATGTGCCTGATGAATCCGCTTGTGGCTGACATGCCCAGTTCGAGAGTGACACAGCTTGTTACAGGTTTCACAGATCCATGTGCTGTCTGAATTAGAGTCCGAGTTTACAGCATACTGCTTTCTTCTTTCTTGCTTTGCTTCCATTCCCTGGATCAGAGTTGCTTCATGTTGAGCTGCACCCAGTGCCAGATGTTCCCTCCAGATTAGATGGGATTATGTGCACTCCTTCCTGCTTTCTACATTGATGCTGAACAACTTCATTACATTTTTTGAGTACACGCTGTGGTACTGCCATAGAGGGCAAGCCCACTTTCTAGTGCCATCTAAATTCTTGCTATACGAAATATTCTTGGGGATACCGTTTCTCCTCATTCTCCCGACATGGCCAAGCCATCACAACCTCCTGTTCTAGATAGTGGTTTCAAAGTGTCAGTCCTGCATGCTCCAGCACCCTTGTGTTTGGCATTTTGTCTTCCTACCTTATTTTCAGGATTTTTCACAGGCATTCAATATGGAAGCTATTCAGTCTCCTGATGTGCCTAGCATATATAGTCCATGTTTCTGAACCATAAAGCGGATATGACTGTAAACTACATCCAGTTGGAGGGCCTGGTGGCAATGTGGTGGGGATACTCGTGGCAGGCTAGTGCCTATAAAATACCACAATGTTGAAACCTCCAGAGTAAGGCGAGTATAGTGCACCTCAAAACCCTAGACTAAGGGACATCATCCTGACAGAAACGTCTTCTCTGAAGTGTTAGGCAGTCAGCAGCAGCTCTAATCATAGAAAGTTAGGGCTAGAAGGGACCTCAGGAGGTCATCTAGTCCAACCCCCTGCTCAAAGCAGGACCAGCCCCAACTACATCATCCCAGCCAAGGCTTTGTCTAGCCAGGTCTCTAAAAACTCCAAGGGTGGAGATTCCACCATCTCTCTGGGTAACCTGTGTCAGTGTTTTACTACCCACCTAGTGAGAAAAGTCTTCCTAATATCTAACCTAAACTTCCCTTGCTAGAGTTTGAGACTATTACTCCTTGTTCTGTCATCTGCCACCACTAAGAACAGCCTAGCTCCATCATCTTTTGAACCCCGCTTCAGGTAGTTAAAGGCTTCTATTAAATCTCCTCTCAGTCTTCTCTTCTCCAAACTAAATAAGCATGGTCCCCTCAACCTCTCCTCATAAATCATGTGCCACCTCACCATTTTCATTGCCCTATGCTGGACTCTCTCCAATTTGTCCACATCCTTTCTATAGTGGGGGGCCCAAAACTGAACACAGTACTCTAGATGTGGCCTTACCAATGCTGGATAGAAGGGAATAATCACTTCCCTTGACCTGCTGGCAACACACCTACCAATGCAGCCCAGTATGCCGTTAGCCTTCTTTGCAAGAAAGGCACGCTGTTGGCTTATATTCAGTTTATTGTCCACTGTAACCCTCAGGTCCTAATTTATTGCTCTCTGGCAGGCGCTACAACCCTCAAGCTGCTGAACATCCAGATTCAAGTCTGGCGTTTAGACTGTGTCAGTGGTGTAAAGGGGGGGATGATAGGTATAGGGCAGGCTCCACTCCACCATATTCTTGCCTAGGCATATGCATCAAAGGTCTTGGTGTAAGAGTTGCAGGAATCCATAACAGGCATAAGAAACTATTAAAAATAAACCAACAATATATGAAAAAAGGCATGGTTATAGTCCTCTCCATTTCAACCCCCTTTCGAACTGAAAAAAAGATGTGATCTCCCTAGCATTGCCAGGATCATTGTTGTTATATTCTAGCCATTTCACCAACCTCTTTTTCCTTTTAATGCCATTTAAAAAAAAAAACAAAAACAAAAACAAAAAAACATCTCCTTAAAAGGTGTGTCCAAACACAACTCTCCCAGTGGCGGCAACATCATTATTGGAACATTCAAAGAACTGCCACACCAAAGTATCAAATAGCTCAAGGTCAGCAGTTAACAGCACAGTGAGACATATGAAAAGAGCTGCCTGAAAGGGCATTTGTCAGATATGCACTATGGTATACAGTTTACATTCAAATTGAGGACATTTTGTATGGAAGCAGGCAGCCAGCATCTCTTTGCCGCTCCCTTTTCATTTTAAACCCTTTGGTCAGGGAAAGAAAGATATTTGTTTCAACTTAAAGTCTTCCACCCACATCTTCAAAACTAATAGGTAATGCTTTCATTCCCAGCAGCCAGGCATGTGAAATTAACCAAAATTGGCTCCAAGTCAGCAAATTAGAAATTTCTGAGCAACACCAAAGTAATACACTTAAGAAGCAGAGGCCTGGTGCTGAGCTAGTCACTGCAAATCGGTGAGATTTTGCCTCCTCCATTATAAAATAAGTGGGATTTCAAAGTCTAGTCTAGTAAAAGCCTGGGGTGGATTAATTTATCACTTACGGATTAATATTGATCTTTATCAATCAATTGCTATTTTAAGGAAATGTGCATAAACTAGGCAGGAAAGGAGCCTTTAAAAGGTAGGCCTACCCTGTCAACTGATTGTGCTAGGGAACACCACGCAACTATGCCACACCTGGTATAGCCCCAAAGGATGTAATGTAGCCATCCTTAATGCAGTACAGGGCATTTGCTAATAAAGCACATCTGTACCGAGAGCCATTGGCACATGCGCAGCACCACATGAAGGGCAGATACGTTACATCTGTTTCAGAGAATCTCAAGTGCAGTGGTGTGGCATGACATGCTTGGTTGCAGCATCCCCCTGTAGCCCTTTGAAGATGTAAGTATGTCCTTACTGTCTGCCTGACTGTCACTGTATTGCTGTCTAACAATCATGGAACTGAACTACAAGAACAACAATGGGAGTACCCATTTCCTATTAGTGGGACTAAAAAATAGTTCAACACATTTAACTGAATGCAACTAAAATTCATGCCATTAGGCAAATAACCAGCTATACCAAATTCTAATTATGAAACAGAAGTGGGGGAGCAGATAACCAAGATCTTGTCCAGCTAAACAAGACATTGCACGGGCTAGATATAGCACTATGCTCTCTCCTCAGTACTTCTGGTGTGAATAACTTCTGCTAATGGGAACAGGCATTATGCACATCAATTCAACTCTTTCCTCTTATTCTGGTGTGAACCAGGAGTTGCACTGAATCCATTGCAGTCACATTAGTATTCAGTCAGCTGTAGGCAAAAGAAGAACGAGGCAAACATTTCCCCAGCACCCTGAAGGAGAACAAATATCTTGGGATTCCTCCCATTCATTTAAATATCCTATTACATAGACAAAATAGAAGAAAATGCAAGCGCTTTGCACTTATACACCCACCACTAGTGAATCTCAACATGAAATACAAGTATTTATTTAGAAAAAAAATAAACTGTGAACTTCATATCCATACAAGTGCTCTCATTACTTCAATTTTAAAAATGTGGGCTGGAAGGGACTTCAAGGAAGGGTTGTTCATTTGATCTCTGTGCTCTAAGGGAAGACCAATAAAGCTAGACCATTACTGATAAGAAGAGGTTACACAAGCATCTAACAACATCGTTGTGTGTAACAGGTTGCCCTCCCCAGCGCCATCTTTCGGATCATCCATGCCTTACGCGGGGCACCCTTGGAACTCTGCTGTCCCACCCCAATCTCCCCTGCCATGTCTTGATGGAAATTAGTATGTGAGTGGGAGACTGCCGATTATATTGGGGTCTCTCCTAGGATAGCCTGACCTCTTTTCCTCTAGCTAGGGCTCTCTATCCAAACCCACCAAACAGGGTTTGACTCCGAGGCTCTAGCTCTTCCTTCCAGTACCTGGAGGCTCTTGGCCCCCTTTTCTGTCCCTTTCTGGAGTATGGCACTCCCTGGCCCAGAGGCATGGGTGCCAGCCCCACAGCCGGGGGGGGGGTCACAAGTTCAAGACCCAGGCATAACTCCACCCATCCAAACAATAGAAAAAATATATACCTGCACCAGGCCTCCCTGGCCTTTTTTAGATCATTCCAAAACAGCACCCTTACTGGCACTCAGGCTCTCCAAATCCCTGTCTCTGTGCCCCCCTGAAAAGCTGCACCCTCACTGGCACCAGGGTCTGTGCCCCCCAAAAGCTGCCCCCTCACTGGTGCTGGGGCTCCCACTCTGGAGTGGGTCCCCAAAATGAGGCCTCCTCCATCCCCTGATAGCCTCACCCAAACCTCCAGTCTTATTCAATAACCAAAAGAAAACAAATAAACAGTCCCATCCATGGGCAATATCTGCCAGCCAAAAATGTGACTAAGGAAAGCAGTATGTCAGCTTACATTTTGCAGGGTTCATGCTTCAGCTCCCCACCATCAGCTCCAGTCCTTGCAGCAGTGCAGCTGTCACCTCTCCAGGGTTTCTATAGCTCCCCTCTTCCTGGCTTTGGACTTCTCACCAAGCCTCTCCCTGGAGCTCTGAAATGCACTCCTTCCTCCTTGGCTGCTAGCCCACTTACTGCCACTCAACCTACGGTTTTATATAGTCCTGCCTCTTCCGGTCAGCTGACTAGCCATTCCAGTTCAGCAGTTAACCCCTTCCTCACCAGCCCTCTGTGCCTAGAAGGTTCTGGCCTTATAGGGGAGTACCTTTTTCCTCGTGACAGGGTTAGGGTTTCCTGTCACATGGTGCCTACAACCTGCATATGGAGTCAGCCCCAGTGCTTCACTACCCTTATAGTTAGAAACATTTTCCTAATATTTAACCTAACTTTGCTTTTGCTGCAAACTAAATGAATTTTTTCTTGCCCTGCCCCAAGCAAACACAGAGAACAATTCATCAGAATTTTTTCTTGCCCTGTCCTCTTTAAAATATATATATATATTTTGGAAGATTATTTTTTGCCTCTGCCCCCCATCTTCTCCTTTCTAGAGTAAAGAAATACACCTTTTTCACTGATAAGAGATTTAACAAACCTAATTCCTACTACTCTCCTCTGGACTTCCTCCAATTCATCTACATCTGTTTTTTGGGTTTTGGTGTTGTTGTTTTTCAAATTGTGACTAGAACTGGACACAGAATCACAGCTGAGGCCTCACCAAACAACAAGTAAAGTAGAATAACCCACACAATGTGAGCCATACACAGCTTACCAGCAAATACATTCCAGAATGAGATGTGGCATTTTTGCAGTAGTATCATACCGAATCTTACTTAGTGTTTGTGACAGACTGTAATACCTCACATCTTTTTCTGCAGTACTGTTACCCTAGTTATTCTCCATTTCACATGTGTACACATAATTTTTCCTAAGTGCATCACTTCAACTAGATGAAATTTGACAAAGAACAGCATGATTTCAGACTATTTCTCCTACTTATCAAGATTATTCTGATTCTGTCTTCCAATGTACCAAGAGAGATAGTTAGCCATATTAGTGTGAAGTTTTACGTTCATCCTTCCACAGCTTCTGACAAAGTGAGCTTCAGCTTACAAAATTTGTGCTATATATTATACACACACTTTAGTTAGTCTATAAGGTGCAAATATACCCTACCTCTACTGTACCTTCAACATTCCCCACCCATGAGCATAGTATCATCTATCAGTTGTATACCTGTACTCTACTCAATCATCTATACCCAGGGTGGACTTCTGAGACCCCACTTGAAATATTAATTGTGCAAGATTAATAGCTGGGATCAGAACCTAAGGTCTTCTCTTTTCCAGTTCTTTTCATCCTGTAGGTCACACTATCTCCATGGTAAGTATAAACTAACTCCTTAACAATGGTTTTCATCTCTCCCAAAGGAATATGTACTTCAGAGATGGAAGTGGACCCCGGAAGAACTCCATGTGTGTTATTAGAAACATGTAAAAATATTACATGGGGAAAAAGGAGTTTCTTTCCTGAAAAATACAATGCAATCAGTTGTGCCCTAATACCAAAGCAAAAGATTTTGGGCAATTCATAGAGGCAGACAGCAGATAGGTGGGCAGATTAAGACAACCAGCTCTGGTAAGTTGCTTCCAAATATAACTCATATTCAATGGTTGCAAGTAGACTGCCTCATCCTGAAAATGGTGGTATGTCCACTATGAACGTTAATGGATCACTCAGTCACTTAAAAGCAGACAAAAACTAGTAGCCCTTTACTGTGCTCAAAGCAAAATCCTCAATATCACATGAATTAAAAAAGAACTGATATTCGGTCATAGGCAAGTCTCCAGGAAAACAGCAGAATGGAGATCCTGAGAGAGATTAAATTATCTTCACGCTTCCCAAGGGAGTGTGGAGCACACACATGCAAGCAGCACTGAGGAACACACATACATGAAAATAAAGAAAATATACGAGGGAAGAGGCAGACAAAAAGATATGGGTCGACATCGTTCAGCCCATTCTAGCTGCCTCCAATACTGTATAATTATACAATATAATGTGCATGCACATCACTGTACGTTGATTAGTGAACTAATCAACCAAATAAGCAACAGAGTTTCTCAGTTCCTTCCCCAGTTTATAGTCCAAGAGAAATGTCCACTGGAAAAAAAAAAAAATCAAGAGACTCACCAGCCTCCAAGAAGGCTAGATCTAGCCCTACTCTAAAGCACTAGTACATTCAAGGAATATATATTATGATGCAATACAGACAGTAAAGTAACTGTATTTTCCATAGCATCAGGCATCACCTACCTGACCTTAGAATGACCCTTGTATCAACCATCTCCCAAGCAGGAGGAAAATGGCTTCTCAACATCTGCTTGTACTTAAGCTTACAAATTTCCAGCTCCCACATTTTCAGCCTATTTTCTTGGGCTATAAAAATATTGTTGTGGTTGATAATGCTGATGCTTTCTTACAGTATTACACATTTCAGCTGACTCCATGCTGAAGATCTTCCCCCATTACTTTGAAGACTTAGAGGGCAGCAGTTATCTTGTACCTTACCTGTATCCCTCGTCTCAGTACTGTATGGTTCCAAGTGATCTTTGAAATTTGTTCTTGTCCCAATTGAGTTTCATTAAAATTGCACAAAGTCATCCTGACATTTCAGATATTCTGTGCATACAAACATTCCAGACTATAGTGACCCTTCTGACTTTAGGCCCAAACCTTTAACTCATTACCTTTTCCTGTTGTTTTTCATTTCATGTGTTCTTTCATCCATTACTCTGACTCCAGGATTAGAGTAGGTTTACACATGATCTTCATTGTGCACATTAATGCCTTCATAGCCACTGATCTATCATCCATGAAGTCAGTGATTCTCAGTGAGGGTACTATAGCACCCTGGAGTGCCTTGGGAACTTTTCAAGCATGCTGTGGGGTCCACACAACGTTAACACTGTTAGCTGTGCAAACATGATTCTCCAGATGAACCCAGTGATTTCAAACAGAAAATCTACAATGTTAAAAATGTCTTCGGCAACAGAAAAAAAACTCTCTATTATTTTACTGCAGTCAAAAACCAAGTGAAAACTAGAGCTGGCATTTTCTGAGAGGTGCTTTGAGTCTAAAAAGTTGAAACCCACTGCACTAAGTAGTCAGGAAGATTAACCAAGTGTTTGCACTATTCTTCATCCAACAAGCTGATACCAGTGCAAGATTTCCTTGTTATGGAAACAATCTTCACCGGTTGTAAACATAAGGGAGTACAGGATAAAAGATAACAAAGCCAAGCAATTCATAAATATGCATGTGCACAGCCTGACTTAAAACCACCCACATACCTTTGGAGAAAATCCTCCACTACATAAAAAAAGTTATGCCACTTATCAGTTTATAAGAACAAGTAAAAGTGCACTAGTTTGATAACCCAAAACAACCTAAGTATTGTTTCATACAAATTAATTTTTCATTCCAATTCAGAATTTAAAAAAAAAACCCAGTTTCCTGCACAACAGAAATTCCAAGTTGGAGCCATCTCACATTTACAAACACAGCACAGCACAGCCCCAAACATCTGCTTTTCAGAAGAACAGAATTGCACCACACTGATCCTACTGTTCAAATAAGGAACTTTTAACAAGAATTAGTGGACACCCAAGTTATATATAGCTACCCAAACCACATGGGCTGCATCCAGATGAGTGTGGATGTGCAGTATGTGGCACCACAGACTTATCTGCAGCACAACACACTGCACATGCAGGCACAGGGGGGTTTGGATCCCAGGAGATCCTGGGATCAAGAAAACCTATGCCAAAAAGCAAGCAGGGCAGCACATATGGTGGCCTCATGCATCGCCCAAAACTGCAGCCTGGCTGGCCAGAGCTACAATGGCTGCTGGCTGGGCTCCCAGATGCAGGAACGCCACAGCTGAAGCTCTCCAAAGCCCCCAGGATATCAGGTAAGGCTGCTGGAGCCAGCACAGTTGCTGGCCCCAGCTTCCCCTACGCCACCCAGAATAACCTGCTGCATGCCAGAGGGCATATGGCATGAGCATTCCCCAGAGCAAGCAGCAGCGGCACAAGGTGTGCCACCATTACTTATCCCCAGGGAAACAAACATCCACACTCATATGGACATGGCCATGAAGGTGTGCTGTTTCCTCAAATCCAGTGACCACACACAGCCCTCACCACCACCATTGTTACCAGATTTGCCCATTACTTTGGGGTGTGCTCATTTATTAGGGATACATTTCTAGGGTCTTGGTAATTCTGTCAATGTGTGGCTTGTGTTTCTATACGGAGCTGTATCTCTCCCTTCTGCAAGCCCTCACCCCCAATGGAGCTATCTTGCAGGACTCAGTTTCAATGGGACTGGGTTCCTCCAGTCACCAAATCAGTCATACACACAAACACACACACATTAACGTGACACACCTGACCCAGCTGGGTTGATCAGCATGGACAGGCTGACACCCTCATATGCCAAGAATCAGTTCATCAGAGCAACAATACACTGCAGTCAGACACAAGCACACAGGTGAACAGAATCCCTCTGAATCTGGCTGGGTGTCCAGCTGACACCCTCATGGGCCAGCATTCAGTTCATAAGGGCATGTCTGAGTCACACTGGGTCAATCAGCCTGTACAAGCTGATCCCCTTATGTGTTTCAAACTCAGCATGTCCCAACTTTGGCCTCTTGATGAGCAGACCCCACAGTATTTTTGGACTTCACAGGGATCTTTAGCTTAGGTAAAAGAAGCGTTGCTGCAGAACACATGAGGAAGGAGGAGTAGAGAAGGAAAAATATACCCAGTTACTACCAGTTTGACTATAAAAGTTATTTATTGCTAAGTATATGAAATATATAATGGTACTAGTAGTAACAGACATGCAAAAGAAAAACAAACACAAATCATTACAGTATTACCCTGGTTTCACCAAGCACTCGGGAAAATTTAGCTCAAGCCCAACCAATACAGTTCAAGTTCAGAAATTTATGCCTAGAGAGAAAAGAGAAAGAGCGCGCGCTGGGATCTCACCAGTCCAAGGTACTTAGGCTGCAAAGTTGACAGGCAAAGTCTGTAGCACAATCCT